AACAACTTCAAAATTTGATGACAAATCTTTTGATCCATTCGAGAAATCATAAATGTATTAAAATTCCAAATATTATTATTATTATTATATATAAGGTTTATATTTTGATATAATTTAGTTACATATACACATAATAATAATTTTTTAAATTAACTTACAAATTATTTAAAAAATGTTGAATATTAAATTTACAAAGTTAAATATATAATAAGATTGAATAATACCTTATAATACATAGAATTAGCAACCTAAAATTAGCATCTTGCACTGTAACGCTATTAAAACGGATAAAAAGACCTAAACGCGACGTAAAATCATATATTAAATAATTTATATGCATTAGTTGTATGTCAATTCTACTTTTTTATTTTGTTTATTAGCATATTTATTCTGTTTTATCATGTTTATATTGTGTCAAGAGTTATTTTATTTATCATAATTATATTGTGTCAATGGTTACCTTATTTATCATGATTATATTGTGTATAGGGTTATTCTAGAATTATTTTACAATTTCAATCTTAAGTTGGTATTAGCATGGGTCGATCCCGCTCTGGTTTCTGTCTCGTAATATATATCTATCCGGCGCAACAGTTCTTCGTCGCTCGCCGTCGGCCACCGTCCACCGTTTGGCCACCGCCCGCTGTTGCCAGCCACCGTCGTCCATCACTGTCACATTTCCTTCGTCTAAACCCTTAGGATTTTTTTGTTCCTCGCTAGTACTATTCGTCTTCTTCAGAAATAGCATCTGACAGTACTCTTTCAATTCAATCGATAAAGTTGACAAATTGTTCACTAAAAAAAATCTATAAAGGATCTGAATACTAAAAAAAAAAGTAGTTATAAAAAAAATAGAAAAAATGAAAAAAAAAAGAAAAGAAAAGAGGACTTGTAATTTCAAGAGACAAATATTCATTCGAAGAAAAACATTTATGATAATAAAAGGACATAATTCGGAAAAAAAAATTTGCAAATATTCCAAAATAGAAATATTAGATTAACTAAAAAATCACATTCTTTTTTTCAATTTTTAATGAAAAAAATATACATAGATATCTTTCTATATATGATTTATATTCTGAAAATCCAGCTACAACTTTTTCTTGAATCAACACAAATTTTTTTTAAATAAATGGCTTTACGATAATGAACCAACTATAGAAAGAACTTATAAAACAAATCAAAATATAATTTCCTTTATTTTAAAATTACACAAATACTTTAATAATAGGAATGCGAATTCCCATAATTATTTTGATGTCTCCTTTTTGTCATCGAGAAGCTAAATGGAAAAAATTATCTATCATGGTCTACTGTCGTTGAAATGTGGTTCCTTGGTCAAGGACATTATGACCACCTTAAGCGAGATGGAAGCCATGTGCCTACTAAAAAAGCTGATAAGTGGAAACAAACAGATTTCCAGTTGTGTGCCTTATTATGACAATTAGTGGAACCCAAACTTCTTGTATCTTTGAGGGATTTCAAAACTTGTCACTCCTTTTGGAAGAAAGCCAAAAGCATTTATGCCAACAATATTCAACGTCTCTATGACACTACGAACAAGCTTGCATCTCTTAAAATGACAGACCATGATATGATGTCCTTCATGGATGAAGCACAATCTACTGTCAAAGAACTTAGGATGTTTTTGGAAGTAGATCCATTAGAGGATATAAAAAAGAAACTAGACAAATTTTACATGGTGTTGATTCTTCGTGCCCTACATCCCGATTTTGATCATCTCAAAGATCAAACTTGTAAGTAGTCATGAGGTCCCTGTGGAAACATACTCCCCTTATTATAGGGACTAAATTGTCATTACTGACTGATGGGGCCTGCAAGGACTAAATTGTCATCATTGACTGATGAAGTTTGTAGGGACTAAATTGTCATCAGTAACTGAGGGGCCTATAGTGGCTGAAAATATACTTTCTTCACTAAATTGCTATTATTGACTAATAGAGCCTGCAAAGACTAAATTGTTGTCACTAATGATAGAGTCTGTAAGAACTAAATTGTCATCACTTATAGGTGAGACCTCTACTGATGGGAAGCGACAAAACTAGAAGCAGTGACATATGACGAGGTGATGGGGCATGGCTGAAAAGGAAAAAACTACAGGGACTTCGAATGGGCTCCTTTTCTTCGCGCGCTTCTTACCATTGTCGCCCTTCATTTGCGATTGCTCGAGCCATTGCCCTCTCTTGCACTTCAGTCACAACCCCTTCTTCTTCAATCTTTTCAAAATCTCTCTTTTTCTTCTTCAATCTTTTCAAAATCTCTCTTTTTCTTCTTCAATCCAAAACCCTATTCGAACCCAGTTGAGCGCCAAAACTCTTGAAGGCGATTTGGCCGCTGGATTGAGCTTCCAACTGTTAGGCTCACTGACGTTGTTTCTGGCAGCTGGTTCGCTGGTTCGTTCTTCTTCGTTGGTAAGAAGAAATCTGAAGGATTTGCTGTTTGTACTGCGACTCTCTTTATGAAATGAGGATTTTAGAAAGATAGTTGTTTTGTGCAGAGTGAATGGTGCGTGACTGATTCGTTTCTCTATTCAGGGATAATAATGCTGGAATATTGGTAAAATGAAAATTAGAAGGGAGTCTGGCTGAATTTAAGGCTATGGAATTTTAACCACATTTAAAATGAGCAATACGCTGGCAAGAGACGCTGATTTTCGATTTTTCTTGTAGTACATTTGTGAGAAACGTGAATTTGGAATGCTTGTTACAGGCAATTCAAGGAATACTGTATCATATTCTGAACGCAATTAAATGAAATCATGTGCTATTTCTTTATTTACTGTACCATATGCGGTGAGTGTATTGTCGTAATCAGTTTCTAAATGGTTGACCTTGTGTCTTTGCATTATTTCTGGAGAAAATATGGTTGTAGTTTTCCTTATTTAAATTTTATCTGCTGATCGTTTCAAGTTGGGAGGGAAAAGTGTTTAATCCCATGGCTTCTTGTGGTTAATAGTAAAAGTACAGAGGTTCCAATGAATGAAGTCAATCTGGTATTTCTGTGCTCAAGATAGGTCATCGATTTGATGTTGTTCAGTTTATTCAACTTTTGTTTTTAGCACATCCATTGGATTGGAATTTTAGTGTGACGCAGAGGTATTCAGGAAGTGATTTGCATGGTGTCAGAATTTAATTCTTTAATTCCTTCTAATTTTATGTTTATCAAAACGTTTCTTTTTATAAGGCGACCATTCTACATATAAATTTTACCTAGCATGTATAATTTCAATCACATTTGCCATATTCATGTATGGATGCTCCAGTCTCTGTTCTGTAGATTCTGCTCTAACTCCAAGTGATGGTATTATTCAAGCGTTATTAGTGAACACATTTTTCTCTTCTTTTCTTGCGAATGTCTGAAGGCATATCATTATCTGTTATTGTAAAATGTTGAGAAACTTGAAGGTTGTGACTTAGAGTTGTTAAACTTTTATCATCGATGATGAGAATGGATTCTATGGAACCTGTTTATTCTTTAGACATTGCCTTTCATAAAGAATATAGTAAATATATACCTTACACTTTGATGAATTCCTATATGTCATTTGTCTGGTATATTGAAGAGAAACATTGGGCAATATGATTAATTAAATTTTACTGTTATAACTCATTTAGAATGGCCTTGAGTTTTTGGTTGTACTTACTGAATCTGTTTTTTTCTTTATATCTGTTAAAATTCACCCTGAAATTCGTAAACAATGCTGGGACCCTGAGCACTGGCCAAAGCATATACTTGTCCGATATACATGGTCTGTGTCATTTTAGTTCCAGCTCTGTATGTACACATTTTTGTCAATATTAATTTTGAAGTTTGAACAAATTTATTGTTATGGAAGCCGTTGATATAATTTATTTGCATTTAAGGGATTGGGTTATTGATGATGATATAGCAAACAAGTTGTAATTTAAATAATTAGATTGTAATGTTTATGGCAACAATTAAATTCACCACATGGTATGTTATTTTGTTATTTCCTTTTGATTTTGAAGTTCGCAAAGTTGACAATAAACATCATTAATTTATATAATTTATATACATCCTTCTGATTTGCAGGGCACCAACTTGATGAAAAGCATAATCTATTTATATACATGTAGTGTAGGCATTAGGTGCATCTAAATCTCTAGTAACTTTTTCCTTCAAATATAATGTGTGTTCTTAATTCCTATAACAGTTGCAGTATTTATTAGAACACTTGAATGAACACATAGTGCTTTGTGTCAGGTGATTATAGACATATGAACTTTCTTTGCTCCTATATGTGTTAGTCATGTTCATCATTTTGAATAATATCATTGGTTGGGAAAGGAACAATCGCTTAGTATGCCTTTTGAAATATTTCAGGAAGGAGCACTCAGATAGATGTGACTTCAGGATTGTTTGTTCTGTTTTGGTTCAGGTAAATAAATACCTTTCTCCCTATTCTTTGCTTATATGGTGCATATTTAGCGAGAATACCTGGTGATTATGAGAAATTTGGGTTATTAGAACCAGATATGATGTCCTGTTTATTTGTAGTTGTTATTAGCGTTGGTTAGCCCACACTCTCTTTAAATGATTTTTATACTTAGCATCGGTTGTCCCGGTCTTTATATATCTCTTATGTATGTCAAACATTATGTACTAGTTTTTGAACAAGAAAAATTCTGTATACAAAATATAAAAAAACGTAAGTTTGGTATTTTGGTTCATTAGTGAAGCAATAATCTTTAATTTTCAGCTAAATCTAATTCATAAAATCATTAGCTATCGTAATATATGGAATAATTGGGTTTTGAGCTTCTTCAGCTCCACATAAAATCAGTACTAAATTGTAACCATACATATTTATTAGCAATATAAATTATTATAAACAAAATTTCATATAATACTTTTTCTTTTATAAAAAATTATCAATAAAAAATTGTATTTATCATTTTTACATTAAAATATTATGTAAATATTTATATTTTTGAATAATTTTCATACTTTTTACATTGATTTGTTTAAGCGGGAAATTTAAAGAACAAAATGAAAAGTTTGGCAGCAAATGAAAGGACCATCAATAACACTGTCACATAAGGAAGAAAGAAACGTCCATTACTGAATCACAAATGCAGTCCAAGATCAGTGCTTTCTTCACATCCACCCAAGATTCCTCTTCTCCCAACAACGACCATGATTTGTCAACCTGGGAGAATCAGCAACATCACATCATCAACACCTACACCCGAAGGCGCGTAAATCCTAGGCCCGGTACTTCGGATCCCCAACCGGTAACACTCGCCAAAAACAAGAAGAGAAGCTACGCTCAGTTTCATCTTGATTTTGGCCAATCCGATTTCCTCTTACGCTCGTGTTCTACATGCGGCATAAAGTTCACTCCCGGTGATCCACAGGACGAGAAATCACACAATGAATTTCACAAATCATACACGCAGGGAATCCTATTCAGAGTTAGCTCTCATTCTACACTCTCTTCTTTTACGGTTTTTTATTCCTAAATCTTATTTCCTACACTCTCTTTTGTGGTTTTTTATTCCCAATTTTATCTTATTTCCTACTGTATTCTGCAGGGTTGGACCAAAGAAAATGTTATTCCTCTACCCAGTTTGGATTCGGGTCGAGTCGTTTTATTCTTGGAGACCGACCGGTCTTCTCACAGGAAGAAAGTTGAAGAGGTGGTGAGGATGATGGAAATTGAGATTGGAAGTGGGNGGACCATCAATAACACTGTCACATAAGGAAGAAAGAAACGTCCATTACTGAATCACAAATGCAGTCCAAGATCAGTGCTTTCTTCACATCCACCCAAGATTCCTCTTCTCCCAACAACGACCATGATTTGTCAACCTGGGAGAATCAGCAACATCACATCATCAACACCTACACCCGAAGGCGCGTAAATCCTAGGCCCGGTACTTCGGATCCCCAACCGGTAACACTCGCCAAAAACAAGAAGAGAAGCTACGCACAGTTTCATCTTGATTTTGGCCAATCCGATTTCCTCTTACGCTCGTGTTCTACATGAGGCATAAAGTTCACTCCCGGTGATCCACAGGACGAGAAATCACACAATGAATTTCACAAATCATACACGCAGGGAATCCTATTCAGAGTTAGCTCTCATTCTACACTCTCTTCTTTTACGGTTTTTTATTCCTAAATCTTATTTCCTACACTCTCTTTAGTGGTTTTTTATTCCCAATTTTATCTTATTTCCTACTGTATTCTGCAGGGTTGGACCAAAGAAAATGTTATTCCTCTACCCAGTTTGGATTCGGGTCGAGTCGTTTTATTCTTGGAGACCGACCGGTCTTCTCACAGGAAGAAAGTTGAAGAGGTGGTGAGGATGATGGAAATTGAGATTGGAAGTGGGTGGATACTTCACGAGCGCTGTAAGGTGTATCTGTTTGTTTCTCTGAACAGGGTTGCTGGGTGTCTCGTTGCGGAACCAATTGAAAAGGCATTCAGAGTTGTGTCTGGCTCTGTTACTGGATCTGTTCACAGTGCGAAGAAAAGGGGAGTAACGACACGCTCTACCACTCTTCAATTTGGGAATGTTATTTTCCAAAGGGAGGTCCATAGAAAAGTTGCTAATGTGAGTGATTCTGAAAAGATGGAAGGGGCAATCTTCTGTACCAGCGAACCAACCGCTGCTGCTGGTGGCATTAGGGCCATTTGGGTTACTCCCTCCAACAGAAGAAAAGGCATTGCCACCCAGTTGCTAGAAGCAATGAGGTAGCTTAAATTAAATTTGGCTTTAATTGACTCTGAGGAACTTAAAGTATTTTATATAAAATCAATAAGTTCATAGGTAATGAAAGACCTTATTTATCTACAAGTCCTAATACTAACCACATGGAATGGGTGCTAAGTGGTTGGGAAAATGTGTTTGATTTTACAAAAGGAAGTATCATAATTGTTTTTGCTTCATTTCAAATGTGGTTTTAGAAAATATATACACGCTCAGTTATTTTCTAATTTAACAAGAAGTGATTTAAAATAGTTCTCCGTTGGATTAAAAAGGATATATCAAAGTTACTTTTAGAATAAAAACATAAAACAAATAATTTTATCTCAATATATTTTTCCTATGTCAAATTTATTGTTTTTAACACTCATCTAGACGTACACTTAACTATTTTGCAACCATTTGCTTGCCTAGTGATTTGAATTTCCTGTGTTAAATTGGTTGCAGGAAGAGTTTCTGCCCCGGTCTTGAGCTTGAACGTTCTCAGTTAGCATTTTCCCAGCCTACCTCTGCTGGAAAGGCATTAGCAGCTAGTTATACTGGCACTGGTTCATTCTTAGCATATTAGAGCCAACAAAACAGTTTATTAGTGTTTACTTATCTTGACTGTTAATAGGTATAAGCGTAAGTTATTCTGGTAAAGTGTAACATTTTTTTAGCTCATATAAGCCATGAATCTGTCATCTCATTGTATTTTGTTGGTACAAATTTGTCATTGTGAGTGGATTTTACCATTTAGTTCTTGAGAGTCAAGAGTTAGCATGTATTGGAGAACATCCTTTTGAAGACTATAACTGTGACTGATATTTACAGATGTATTTTGAAACTGCAAACTGAAGTTCACACTTTCCAAGTACTAAATTAGGGAGCAAGAAATTGTATCTTTTTTTTGTTTTTTATTTTCTCTTTTGACTGTTTGCAGGTTTGTAACTTCAAGCCAAACACAGCTTATTTGGTTGTGTTCAAGCAAGCTTAAGTTATCATAACCCGTAGTTAATGGGAAAATAAGCTTCTTACATTATGTGTGCTTGCCTCTTTTCTTAATAATTTATAAGCCTTTTAATATATATATATATATATATATATATATATATATATATATATTTATTTATTTATTTTTTTTAGCTAACGTTTCACCTTGATAACTATAGTTCTTTTTTTTTGTCTTAATTGTTGGGTAAATTTTTTAATTTTAATTTGAAATAAGAAAATTGCATCTAAAGGGACATCTTATTATATGTATCTTATTTTCATTTCATTGATTCATAATCTTTTATTTTCTGTCAAATTACACATTGGACATGTTTCTTTATTACTTTGACCCATAATTTTTATTTGCTTCGAAGTTTTGCATATGTAATGCTATATTTTTCTTATCTATCTATGTAAAGCCAAAAGATCATAGTTATCTTTCAATACTACAATGCTTTTTTTTAGTTAGTGTATGGTATGTAGATATATTTTTCAAATTTATGTTTGTGTTATGTCTAGTGAAGGGGGACTCTAATTTCAAAACTAACTTTCTATGGGATATTGGTAGTGGATTAACTAATGCATTAATTTAAACCATTATGTATCATTAAGCGATAGGTAGTCGCCAAAACCAAAGGAAATTCTCTTAATATTTCATTCTTAATAAATGATTAATTCATTTAATTTAATCTTTAACATAAAGTGATTTAAGACTGGTTTTGAATAATTGAAATGTTCAAAAAAAATTTTCATTATAACGGTTATATACTTTGTCAATAATTATTTAGAACCGATGCATCAATTGGAATATTTTGAGACTGGTCTCACACACTTTTTTTCCTTTAAATTTTTTACTTTATTTCTTTTCTTTTATCGAGTCATAAGTTATTTTGTAGAAGACAATAAATATTAAAATTATCTAATTTGATCATATTTTGGTGTCGAGTTTCATGACAGTTCCTACCTTAACTTATTTTTGAAATATTTTTCTCGAGAAGCTTAAGAAAGAGGAAAGGGAAGTTAAGAACATGAAAACTTGTAGACATCAAGAATGGCTTGAAACGAAAAAAATCATTTTTACCGATGTTACTCAAGCTAATACTCTTGCCCAAGTAAGAAATATTGACAAAATCAAATTTTCTTTTCTTTTGTTGGATTTTATTCACAAGAGATTTTGTTGGTCAAACGACTTTTATATAATTAAATTGACATGTTTTTAATTTCATACACACTAAAAATATATGTAAGTAATAGATGAAAAAAATGTGAAATGTGATGCGTTTTATTGACGATAAGCTATGATATATTTTATGTGGCAAAGAGTACGAAGAGTTTGTGTTTTTATTAAATGACTAAGTATATTATGATTATGTAATCTATGATATTTTGAAATTAGTGTAAAGATGGTGTTGTGTACATATATAAATATAAATGTATAATTATTATGTGATATGTGATGGTATGTGTGAAAGGTATTATGGCTATTAATGGATATGTTGGTTGCCTTTTATGGATATGTTGCCCATTTGTGTGTGTGATGATGGGATGATTTTTGGGATGCTATTTTGTAGAATTAGACTTGAAACTTAATGAAAAGAAAATATCTTAATTTCATTGAAAATCTAATCACAAAAATAAGACACCAGGGATGCAAAATTATAGGAGACTTTTGTATAAATACTTTTTTTTATCTGATGTAAACATCTATTTTGACTTAAGATTCCAATGTTAGATTTTATATGTGATAATTTTGATATAGATTAAATATGTTTTTAATATACTAAATTTGATACAAATTTTGAATTCATTAATGTATGAAACTTTAATATTTTTGGTTTTTAATCTTTTAAATAAATTGTCAAATACATTTCATATTAATATTTAAATTATTTATACTGTTTGATATATTTCAACTTCAATGGCAATTGAAAATTGTAAAATAAATAAATAAATTTTAACATAATTAAATTAAATGAATTATATCAATTTATTTTTAAAATTTAAAAATTAAAATATATTAAAATTTTGGACAAAAATAAATTTCCTGAATCAAAATTCATACACTAAAAACATATATAAATTTTTAATAGAAATACTTGAGTCTTTGAAAAAAAAAACATTGGAATATAACAAATTAGTTTTGATTCATTGGAATGTAATTGATAATCCTATATCTTAGGTAGAGGTAATTTCATAATAGTTTGTCATTTTTGTTCTCTAGTTGGAGAAATAATACTGGTACCTGATTCAAATGGTGATTTATGGGATTTTTTATATAAATGCGAACTTGTATTGCTTTGAGATTATAATCTTTAAATTGATTTATTCTAATATATAATAATATATAACATAATATAAACTATTGACATATTCCTTAATACAAATCTATGAAATTCTATATGAACATAAAAAACGAAACAAAACTAGAAAAATTATTAATTATTATGCCAATATTCATTTTATATAGCTTTTACTAACATATGGTTCCAACTAACATTTATGTATATAGCAAATTATTTATATTCTTTATTTTTTTTTCCTTTTCCCCGTTTAATCAGTTAGTTAGAAGTTTTTCGGACCTTTCAATTTCATATTTTAACAGTTATTTAAATCGAATTTTAATTAAAGCCAACTTTAATATGAAAAAGCATTCATATTCTATCGATGAACTTTTTCGGATTCTCTTCGTGTAATTACATTTTTCTTATCTACGAAATTTGAATATGAAATTTTGTTTAAACAACTAATTAATATTACAATTTAATAATGTAGATTAATAATTTTTTTTTAAAGATATGAAAAATTAGACCTTAAAATAATTGAGTATGTAAAGCTAATGAAGACCTAATGGTCTTCATGGCCCTACGTTTGCCTTCTATGATAATCTATGTCTATGGATCTCTTTCACTTATTTTCTTTTTTTTCTTAGCACTTTACTTATTATCAATTTCTTTCTTCAGTCCACTAATTCCATAATTTCTGTACTTTTGGCTGTATAGATTTTTTGAACGTGATTACTATTTTTACATTTCAGTAAATTATTATTTCTTTTTCAGTTGTCCTCAAATTATTATTATTTTTTTCTAAATTGTCTTCAAATTAATTGATGAAAACCACATAATAGATTAATTTATATATTGAATTTTGCAACACGACAAGAAATATTGTCTTATTCGATCAATGTTATTGCTTTTATTTATAATGATAATTTTCTTTTTCATTTACCAATATCACCCATATTCATTTTTATTATAAATGGATAAATAATTTGTATGACGGTGTAATCGATATATTATAGACAATGTGATATTTTATTTTCATTAATTATTTTTTTTTTGTCATGATTTCTTTTCTATGCTTATCCTTACATTAAAGAGAATTGCTTTTAAACAGTAGCTATCATGAGATTGGCTTTTGTTTTCTCTTTTATTTAAACTTTTTTCTTACCCGAATTCCTAAATAAATGAATGAATAAATAACAGAATTGTTGGAAACTGAAATATAAAAGAAAACTGAAAAATAAAAGAAAACTGAAAAATAAAAATGACTATTTTTCTTCCATTTCTTCTTCTTGTTGAAAACGCCCATCTCAATCTCATTTCCCACTTCCGAGGTTATTCCCTTTTGCCGGCTAGCCCAATTCCTCCTATTTTTTGTTTCTGTGTTCCTTCGAAATTCCACAATTTCAATAACACCCTCCCTTCGTTTAACACTTTTCACCAATTCAACCTTTGATCTTTGATATTTCCACCCATTTTCTTGTTTGATCGGGGGATTCTCAATTTGGGTGCCCCTTCTGTTTCTTATCTCACCATTGGGTCCAATAATCTGCGTTTTCTTCAGATTGAAAGCAATGGGCATAGGGTTCGAGTGGAATGATGGTACGGAAAATGATATATGGAAAATGTAATTTGGTCGTGTGTATTGGGCATAGTAATGTTGTTTAAATTCTTAAATTACATCATCAATTCTAGCTACTTCTACCCTGTATAATTTAAATTTCCACGAATTTGGCACTGTAAATGTTATCGTGGTATTGAGTTTTGATTAATTTTGAATGAACAAAATAACTTTTTCTTACCCATAATATACCTTTGGTAGCACATCGTTTACATATTCTTTTGTGTAGAACAGGTATTCGCTTATATGTAACTGAATGAAGGATAAATAAGTGTGTTTTATGTTTATGATCTTAATGAATTTCTAATATCCACTTGCTCCTCCTGAGTTTTTTTCTTTGGTTTGTGTGCGCATGTGTTGGACTGTTTACTTTATTCTATTTAGTAGTTAATTTACGAGTTTAATAGACATACATTGTTACTGTAAAGATTTCGTACTTTTGACCGATAAGAAACCATTATTTGTATGTCCTGGAAAATAGTTGTTATGAAAGTCATCAAATTTACATACATGTCAGTTTGTGATTGTCACAGTGATTGGATGACAATGTGAAACTTATTTACATTGTTAGTGTGTAGACTGTTTACTCCAATCTGTTTGACACCTTAATGAATGCAATTCTGTTGGTAACTGGGATTAGGATATGAAGATATTTGATAAGGTTCTTGGTTGCTTTGTTTATTTTATGCTTATGGGTTATGGCACAGCAAACTGAAATCTCACAATACTTTTATTCTAGTTATTACATACTTGCATTGCATGCTTTAAAATTAAATGAGCAAATACTGTAATTATGTGTATGAGAAACTTATACATTTTTCAGTAAATTTTGTAAATTGATAGTGACATCAATATTTTTGTGCATCTATTTTCAGGTTTTCCTCATAGTGATGATTAGGGAAGCCATTTGTCTTTAGATTTGAGAGAGCTGATTTGTGATTTTTGAATGGAGAAGAAAAGATTAGATGACTATGAACCAGGTCCAGTTCCTTCACCAAAGGGGGTAGATAGATTTGGTTTTGTAAAACAGGATAATACTTCTGATGGTTTAGTCAAAAGTAGATCAGCCTATGAGTATGAGAGGTATTTTGCTTTCCTCCTGTTGATTTGTGTTTTTTCTGTGTTACGAGCATAAAATAAATAGCCAGTGATATTTACCTATGTTACCTCTATCATTCATCAGATATAGGGAGGAGAGAAGGGTTAGAAAATGGAGGAAGATGATTGGGGTTGGTGGCAGTGATTGGAAGCATTATCTGAGGAGAAAACCTCATGTTGTTAAAAGGCGTATAAGGAAAGGAATTCCAGATTGTTTAAGGGGCCTTGTTTGGCAGTTGATATCTGGAAGTCGAGACCTACTGCTGATGAACCCTGGAGTTTATGAGGTAATCAAGTTAAATTGTACTGATGAAAAATTATGATTCATTTTGTACAACACTGTGTTGCCTATGATCAGTGCTTGTCTCGCTGTTGTTTGTTATAGTTCTCCAATAAATATGAACTGAAGAATATTCTCCATTTTTATTTGCACATCTTTTTACGGCTTGGTATATTTGTGCTTGCTGTTGCAATGTCACCACCCTGGTGGGTATGCGTGGTGTTTGAGTTGAACAATATTTTTCTTAGTAATGTAGGTTATAAATTATTTTGAATATGGATGTGTGGATATTTGAAGTTGTTGGAGAATCTATATTGACCAAATATATAACCAAATTACAGTATGGGTATAAATCTTTCTTTATAAGTTAGTTTTGTAAAGTTAAATAAGACTTATAGTCTACTTTTTAATATGGTATCAAAGTCTATACTAGTGAAATTTGTTAGACCTACCACACCTGCTATTGGGCTACCCACAAATATGTAGTGATGTGCTTGAGATGTTCAGTCCTTGCTGTGAAGGGTGTGGTAAAGATCTCACATGTATTATAAGTGGGTGTATATCTCATCTTATAAGTTGATTTTATGAGATTGAGTTACACTTAAAGTCTACTTTTTAAGAAAAAATATTAGATCAATTTTATTTGACTGTTGTAAGGAAATCCTACTTTAATGTTATCTTCCTAAAATAACCATTTTATTATTATTGGAGTAGTATTTTAAATATGGATGTATAGATATTTGAAGTTATTTGATCATTTTTTTTATTTGATTGCAATAATTGAAATCCTACTTTGGAGTTGTCTTCCTAAAGAATCATTTTTATTATTATTAGAGTAGTATTTTACTATGTAAAACGGTTAGTGTTATATGTTCTGTAATGATTGAGCAGTTGTGTATNCAACTTCAATGGCAATTGAAAATTGTAAAATAAATAAATAAATTTTAACATAATTAAATTAAATGAATTATATCAATTTATTTTTAAAATTTAAAAATTAAAATATATTAAAATTTTGGACAAAAATAAATTTCCTGAATCAAAATTCATACACTAAAAACATATATAAATTTTTAATAGAAATACTTGAGTCTTTGAAAAAAAAAACATTGGAATATAACAAATTAGTTTTGATTCATTGGAATGTAATTGATAATCCTATATCTTAGGTAGAGGTAATTTCATAATAGTTTGTCATTTTTGTTCTCTAGTTGGAGAAATAATACTGGTACCTGATTCAAATGGTGATTTATGGGATTTTTTATATAAATGCGAACTTGTATTGCTTTGAGATTATAATCTTTAAATTGATTTATTCTAATATATAATAATATATAACATAATATAAACTATTGACATATTCCTTAATACAAATCTATGAAATTCTATATGAACATAAAAAACGAAACAAAACTAGAAAAATTATTAATTATTATGCCAATATTCATTTTATATAGCTTTTACTAACATATGGTTCCAACTAACATTTATGTATATAGCAAATTATTTATATTCTTTATTTTTTTTTCCTTTTCCCCGTTTAATCAGTTAGTTAGAAGTTTTTCGGACCTTTCAATTTCATATTTTAACAGTTATTTAAATCGAATTTTAATTAAAGCCAACTTTAATATGAAAAAGCATTCATATTCTATCGATGAACTTTTTCGGATTCTCTTCGTGTAATTACATTTTTCTTATCTACGAAATTTGAATATGAAATTTTGTTTAAACAACTAATTAATATTACAATTTAATAATGTAGATTAATAATTTTTTTTTAAAGATATGAAAAATTAGACCTTAAAATAATTGAGTATGTAAAGCTAATGAAGACCTAATGGTCTTCATGGCCCTACGTTTGCCTTCTATGATAATCTATGTCTATGGATCTCTTTCACTTATTTTCTTTTTTTTCTTAGCACTTTACTTATTATCAATTTCTTTCTTCAGTCCACTAATTCCATAATTTCTGTACTTTTGGCTGTATAGATTTTTTGAACGTGATTACTATTTTTACATTTCAGTAAATTATTATTTCTTTTTCAGTTGTCCTCAAATTATTATTATTTTTTTCTAAATTGTCTTCAAATTAATTGATGAAAACCACATAATAGATTAATTTATATATTGAATTTTGCAACACGACAAGAAATATTGTCTTATTCGATCAATGTTATTGCTTTTATTTATAATGATAATTTTCTTTTTCATTTACCAATATCACCCATATTCATTTTTATTATAAATGGATAAATAATTTGTATGACGGTGTAATCGATATATTATAGACAATGTGATATTTTATTTTCATTAATTATTTTTTTTTTGTCATGATTTCTTTTCTATGCTTATCCTTACATTAAAGAGAATTGCTTTTAAACAGTAGCTATCATGAGATTGGCTTTTGTTTTCTCTTTTATTTAAACTTTTTTCTTACCCGAATTCCTAAATAAATGAATGAATAAATAACAGAATTGTTGGAAACTGAAATATAAAAGAAAACTGAAAAATAAAAGAAAACTGAAAAATAAAAATGACTATTTTTCTTCCATTTCTTCTTCTTGTTGAAAACGCCCATCTCAATCTCATTTCCCACTTCCGAGGTTATTCCCTTTTGCCGGCTAGCCCAATTCCTCCTATTTTTTGTTTCTGTGTTCCTTCGAAATTCCACAATTTCAATAACACCCTCCCTTCGTTTAACACTTTTCACCAATTCAACCTTTGATCTTTGATATTTCCACCCATTTTCTTGTTTGATCGGGGGATTCTCAATTTGGGTGCCCCTTCTGTTTCTTATCTCACCATTGGGTCCAATAATCTGCGTTTTCTTCAGATTGAAAGCAATGGGCATAGGGTTCGAGTGGAATGATGGTACGGAAAATGATATATGGAAAATGTAATTTGGTCGTGTGTATTGGGCATAGTAATGTTGTTTAAATTCTTAAATTACATCATCAATTCTAGCTACTTCTACCCTGTATAATTTAAATTTCCACGAATTTGGCACTGTAAATGTTATCGTGGTATTGAGTTTTGATTAATTTTGAATGAACAAAATAACTTTTTCTTACCCATAATATACCTTTGGTAGCACATCGTTTACATATTCTTTTGTGTAGAACAGGTATTCGCTTATATGTAACTGAATGAAGGATAAATAAGTGTGTTTTATGTTTATGATCTTAATGAATTTCTAATATCCACTTGCTCCTCCTGAGTTTTTTTCTTTGGTTTGTGTGCGCATGTGTTGGACTGTTTACTTTATTCTATTTAGTAGTTAATTTACGAGTTTAATAGACATACATTGTTACTGTAAAGATTTCGTACTTTTGACCGATAAGAAACCATTATTTGTATGTCCTGGAAAATAGTTGTTATGAAAGTCATCAAATTTACATACATGTCAGTTTGTGATTGTCACAGTGATTGGATGACAATGTGAAACTTATTTACATTGTTAGTGTGTAGACTGTTTACTCCAATCTGTTTGACACCTTAATGAATGCAATTCTGTTGGTAACTGGGATTAGGATATGAAGATATTTGATAAGGTTCTTGGTTGCTTTGTTTATTTTATGCTTATGGGTTATGGCACAGCAAACTGAAATCTCACAATACTTTTATTCTAGTTATTACATACTTGCATTGCATGCTTTAAAATTAAATGAGCAAATACTGTAATTATGTGTATGAGAAACTTATACATTTTTCAGTAAATTTTGTAAATTGATAGTGACATCAATATTTTTGTGCATCTATTTTCAGGTTTTCCTCATAGTGATGATTAGGGAAGCCATTTGTCTTTAGATTTGAGAGAGCTGATTTGTGATTTTTGAATGGAGAAGAAAAGATTAGATGACTATGAACCAGGTCCAGTTCCTTCACCAAAGGGGGTAGATAGATTTGGTTTTGTAAAACAGGATAATACTTCTGATGGTTTAGTCAAAAGTAGATCAGCCTATGAGTATGAGAGGTATTTTGCTTTCCTCCTGTTGATTTGTGTTTTTTCTGTGTTACGAGCATAAAATAAATAGCCAGTGATATTTACCTATGTTACCTCTATCATTCATCAGATATAGGGAGGAGAGAAGGGTTAGAAAATGGAGGAAGATGATTGGGGTTGGTGGCAGTGATTGGAAGCATTATCTGAGGAGAAAACCTCATGTTGTTAAAAGGCGTATAAGGAAAGGAATTCCAGATTGTTTAAGGGGCCTTGTTTGGCAGTTGATATCTGGAAGTCGAGACCTACTGCTGATGAACCCTGGAGTTTATGAGGTAATCAAGTTAAATTGTACTGATGAAAAATTATGATTCATTTTGTACAACACTGTGTTGCCTATGATCAGTGCTTGTCTCGCTGTTGTTTGTTATAGTTCTCCAATAAATATGAACTGAAGAATATTCTCCATTTTTATTTGCACATCTTTTTACGGCTTGGTATATTTGTGCTTGCTGTTGCAATGTCACCACCCTGGTGGGTATGCGTGGTGTTTGAGTTGAACAATATTTTTCTTAGTAATGTAGGTTATAAATTATTTTGAATATGGATGTGTGGATATTTGAAGTTGTTGGAGAATCTATATTGACCAAATATATAACCAAATTACAGTATGGGTATAAATCTTTCTTTATAAGTTAGTTTTGTAAAGTTAAATAAGACTTATAGTCTACTTTTTAATATGGTATCAAAGTCTATACTAGTGAAATTTGTTAGACCTACCACACCTGCTATTGGGCTACCCACAAATATGTAGTGATGTGCTTGAGATGTTCAGTCCTTGCTGTGAAGGGTGTGGTAAAGATCTCACATGTATTATAAGTGGGTGTATATCTCATCTTATAAGTTGATTTTATGAGATTGAGTTACACTTAAAGTCTACTTTTTAAGAAAAAATATTAGATCAATTTTATTTGACTGTTGTAAGGAAATCCTACTTTAATGTTATCTTCCTAAAATAACCATTTTATTATTATTGGAGTAGTATTTTAAATATGGATGTATAGATATTTGAAGTTATTTGATCATTTTTTTTATTTGATTGCAATAATTGAAATCCT